CGACCTTTCGACTTTTTCCATTTTATGAAAAGTCGATTTTTCGACCTTTCGACCTTTTTCATTTATTTAAAAGTCGACTTTTAGACTTTTCGACTTTTAGTATTTTATAAATGGTCGACTTTTCGACTTTTCGACTTTTCCGACTTTTCGCGACTTTTTTCGACTTTTCGCTTTTCGACTTTCGACTTTTTCCGACTTTTTCGACTTTTCGACTTTTTTCGACTTTTCGACATTTTTCGACATTTTTCGACTTTTTTCGACTTTTCGACTTTTTTCGACTTTTCGACTTTTTTTGACTTTTTCCGACTTTTTGACTATTTTCGATTTATTTCGACTATTTTCGACTATTTTTTACTTTTTTCGAGTTTTTCCGACTATTTTAGAGATTTTGACCTCTTTTCCACTTTTTTAAAATTTTCGACTCTTTTCGACTTTTTCCGACTTTTTCCGACTTTTTTCGACTTTATTCGACTTATCGACCTTTTTCGACTTTTCAACTTTTTTCGACTTTTTTCGACTTTCCGATTTTTTGTCTTTTCGACTTTTATTTACAAAGTCGACTTTTCGACTTTTTTCATAGACGATAGTCGAGTTATCGACTTTTTTGGAACAAAATAGTCGACTTCGACTTTTCGACTTTTTTCGACAAAAAGTCGATTGTTCGATTATTCGAAAGTTGATTTATAGAACCCTACTACAAACTAGATTTTATTCAATATCACTCATACGTATCCATATTAGCAAATGGTAATTTACGTTTAATACAAATACATATCGCTCATTTACTGACATAATTCAAAATAGAACGTTTCGATAAAAATGGTTTTGAATGTTTTATGCCATTTTACAATTTCAATTTGAAAAATTTAACCAGATTTAGATCAAAGTGTTTATAACAACGGCTTATATTTTTTATTCTTTTAGTAAATGAGCGCTATATACTTTTCTTACAAACGTTTAATTTCTTTTCAAATTCCATGAATAACCTTAATATAAGATCCTTGATTTAAAATATTAACCTATAAAATAATTATGTTATTGGAACGTAGTACCTATCAATGAAATGCAACTTCTTATACGCACAATTTATAAAGAAATAAAGTACATGAAAGTAAATTTTTGAGATACAGTTTAAATACCAACAAAAATATAAAACATGATTTCTTTTTTGAACAAGTTTTAATATAATAAATTGTTAGATCAAATAAATACTATATTTTTTATGTTTAAAGTATATTTTATAATTAAAATTTATAATGTATGATCAAAACAAAAAAGCAACAATATGTTGTATGTTTTGTGTAACTTTTATAAATATGTATCTCTATTAACTAATAATTCATTTTAATTATAATTTTCTAAAATTTAAAAACAAAACAAAATTGGTCAAAATTTATAGGCCGGTGAATAAAGAAATATTTGTATAGAAATCTATGTAATAAACTAATTTAAATTTACATATATGACATAAATCAGTAATTTTTTTAATTACTATTTCATCATTTTTAAATTCATACTATACCTGATGGAGATTTATTAATATAGTGTAAACTATAGTCTTTTCTATAGTTGTTATTATAGTCGGCTTGACTTTACTTTATACCGTAGACCAAACTACTGTCCTGACTATATTCTTTTGTATAGTCTATACAATAATACATATTGCTATTGACGTATTTATAGTCTTGTCTATATACTTGTGTATAGTATTATCTACAGGGTTGTCTATAGTATCGACTATAATGTTGGCGATAATCTTGTCTATAGTACTGATTATAATATTGGCTATAGACTTGAGTGTAGTCTAGATTATAGTCCTGTCTATAGTTTTAACAATACTCTTGACTACAAGTGTTGTTTATAATCTTGACGATAGACTACTCTATAGACTTGACTATGGCCTCATCCATAATTTGGAAAATAATCTTGGCTATAGTCTTGACCCTATAGTCCTAACTATAGACTAGTATTAACTATAGTCTTGTTAATAGTTTTGACTATAGCATTGTCTAATATTAACAACATTTTTTATTATAGTCTTGACTAAAATCTTGCCTAATGCCTTGACCTTGAAAAGGGCAATATTCTAGATTATAGTTTTGTCTATTAGTAACGTGACTATATGCATTTGATTTCTATACAAACAGTTCTATTCTGAATAAGAATAAGACATTTTATTCCTGCTCCTATATCTAAAGTAGTGAAAAATACCCAGAAAATTTTTATTCAGAATAGGTCTCATAATCTTTATTTACGGTTGGGCAAACTTTAAATCTATTAATGATATTCTTTCTAGTACATAACCAGTATGTAACCAGTCAGTATTTAAATGTTCAAAAATTTAAAAACAAAATTTGAAATTTCAAATATTTTGAAATAAAGATAAAAATGCTTTAATAGTCGTCGGTTTATTAGGAGTAGTTTATTAAAAGATAAATTAAGTAAAATGGTGAATGAATAAAAAAAGTGACAAAATTCACAATTTCATAAAATAATTTGTATTGAATTCGAATTTTATATAAATATTTGAACATAAAATTATGTTTTTTAACCAAAAGAACAAATTGTTGTTTATCTATAGGATATTTACAATAATATTTCGGAAATTTTGAACATATTACACATGTTGAATGGAATTGTGAATTAGTCAAGAGATAAATATAAGTTAATTTGAACAACACAGGCCGATTAAACCCAGGGGCTTTAGTCTTCTTCACTAAATGATTGAGCTATGCTGAATCAGAATCTGATATCTAAGTCTAAACTGAACAAACACTCTATATTTAAGACATTTATTTATAAAATTAGTTATATCGTCTGAAAGTCTTATTTATTGTCAAAAAAGAAATTCTGAGATTCGGATTCAATGTAGCTCAAACCTTAAGAGACAATCTTTAGGTGAACGAATAACGCTCTTAGAAAAGTACATACTGGTGTCTGGGTTAACCATTTTGTTGGCCTGTGTAATTAACACTATTTATAACAATCTTGTGTAATCAATCAGTTTCGTTTTGTTGACCTAGTAATATTTAAAATTTTGGAGAATTTGGAAACACATGATCTGCTAGTTTCTTACATTCATGTAAACAAAAATGTTTAAATTTATCACAACTCATAATATTTTTTAAAAACTGTACTAATATTTTTAATAATATTGAAGTTTGTAGAGTATACAATTACTTAAATTCCAAGTTTAATAAAGTTTAAAATACAAAAATTTGTTATAAATAGTGTTGAAATATTGTTAAACTATTTGGAAATTAATTCCAAATAATACTAACCCGAAAATCAAAATAAAAAAAAATATTTTAACCAAACCTTGTCAAAGCTTTAAATTAAAAAATACAAAACTTTAAACTAAATAACTTAATACTAACAAATATATTTCAAATGCATTAATTGATGTTTAATGTTTTATTTTATACAAATAATATAAATTGAATATTTAGGATTATAATACATATTAAGAAATTATTTTTCTACCTTTATAAATCTATGTGTTTTTTATGTATTTTACATAATTTAAACCAAATTTAACATATTTTTTTAAAATCATAACTTTATTTATTAATTAATACCTAAATTTAAAGTATATAAGATATCTAAATGTTTTTTGTACTCAATTGTTGAAAAATAAAAAAAATAAAAAAATACAAAAACCAAAAGAAATTTAAAATAAACAATTAACAAAGAAATTATTAAAAAATGTGTTCTTGCAACAAAATTATAAAACTTTATTTTGATAAGCGAAAAAAAAAATTAGTTTTATTTTTTATGTAAAGCTTTATTAAACTATTTAATACAATTAAATTTTAATTGAAAAATATATTGGTAAACAAATGAGTTTTTTTTAAATAACATTAATATAAAACAACATAATCATTTATTTTTCTAATTGGACAAATGAAAGTAATGCGTCTATAATCTAAATAAAATAATATTTTAATTGAGACTGTCTTTAAAACTAATAAAAATGCTAACGAAAAAATGAGAAAAAAATAAAAATAATACAAGAAAATAAAAATTAAAATTGGAAATTGGCACTAACTAAAATTAAAGAAAATATATTAACAAATTTTTTTATTAATAATTAAAGTTTATAATCAACAATGGTCTTTGGAAAGCAAGAAAAAAACTATAGCAAAGTTATACAAAATCTGTTAATTTTACTATAGAAAAACTAGCCTGAACTCTGACATTTCTTCAATAAAGTGATTTTAAAACTGTTAATTTTTCTATAGAAAAATTTCTAAGAAATATTTTCTGAACCAGGACCTAAAACTTACGCTTACACCAAAAATAAATAAAATTTTTATATCAATTTTTAAATAAGTTTATTTAACTGAATCTATCAATTTATTTAAGTTAAAAAGAAAAATTGAAGAAACCAAAACCACACTTCACATAAATTAATTAAAAAGCACTGTTTTTATAAATCATAAATCTTCTACTTAATCAGTTTTTTGGTAATTAATAAGGAAATATTCTTTTTTTTCAAAAAAAAAAAAAAAAAAAAAAAAACAATAACTAATTTTTTTAATATTCAACATTTCTGTGTAATTTCATTGTGAAATTAAAAATAAAAGAACACAGTTTAGTTGTAAAATAAGTAAACTAAATAAATAACAAATAATATTTGCCAATAATGACATATTAATAATAAAATTAATAAATACTTTAATAAAAGCAACAAGAAAAAAACTAATAAATATATCAAATTTTGTTAATAAAATCTTGATAAAAATTTAAGAATTCTTTTATTTCTTTATTAGTTGTTGAATAGTAATAACTGCAAATAGTTTTCTATTCTTTAGAAAAAGTTGCCTGAAAAAATTTTTGGACATTCTTTGGAAGGCTAATATTTCATTGGCAAAAGTAGAAATTGACTGTAAACACTGAAATTTCCTATAGAAAAATAAAAAGTGAAATTTTCTAAAGAAACAGTTTAACTGAAAACCTTGAGTGAAATCAGTGAACTTGTATCATTAAAACGCATATAATCACCATTTAGTGTAAGTTCATTATATTTTTTTTATATTTTTAACATATAATTTTTTTTGTTTTGTATACAAAATATATTTTGTACAGCTCTTAAGAAATTTTACAATTTCTTCTGCTAAATATACGTAACTGGATAACAAAGAAAAGTAAAATGTTATATTACTTAAAATAATTTAAACTAGCAAATATAATAACTAGATGAATTTATTTTTTACGTTTTCTACGCATCTTTTATGTAACACAGCATCATCATCGTCAGTATCATTGGGAGAATTTGTAGAATCAGTTTGATTTGAGGTATTCTGATGTTGTTGTTTCGAGGCAGAACTATGTTGTTGAGCATCCCATTCTTTGCGTAATTCACTCAACATGCCAGGCGTTAAGAGACCCTGGGCTATTAAACGATCTGTAAGACGTCCACGAGTGGTGCTGGGTATACGTGGTTCTATAAATAATAACATTAAATGAAAGTATGTTTTTTATATTAATTGTTATACAAATTACCTTTTGTCTGCATAATACGTCTCATATTGTAGGTGGTGTCCACCATCATTAACACCATTATTAGCTTCAGTATTTTTGAGTAGTCTAGTAATTTGGAAAACTCCTTGCTGTATGATTTCATCAAGTTCCTTTTGTGCAGCTCTTACTGAGGCAGCATCGGGGAACAGATCCATAAAGCGATAGCTTAGCCAAAGATATAAATCCATGACATCGAATACCGCTTCTAAGTGCACTAAATCTACTATTGTTTTGGGTAATGTAAAAGGCCAACCGCAGTTTTTAGTAATGAATTCAAATGTAAGCGGTTCACCACGACTATATTGGCGGGTGATCTGTGGTAATCAATATACGTTTTTTAAAACCTATAAAAATAATATATAAAATAACTACTAACCTTCAAAAACATGGAACACACAAATGGCATTTTACGATTAATGGAGCACAGCAGAACACATAGCGTGCTCTCAAAGGCAAAGGAACATGTTGTATCATTTCGGCTAAAAATTTAAAGTCTTCTATATTACACATGAAATATAATGAGTCGTCTACGGTACAAAGATTCACGAAAATATCCTGTAAATGTAGTAAATTTTTATTAATTTATAGGTGAATTAAGGTTTTTTTGGACTCACCATTAAATTACTTAGTGTAGAATTAGGCAAATGATAAGCATACAATTCTATTTGATCGGCTGTTGGATGTAAACCCGCTTGTTTTAGTGGTTCTGGTGTTTGAGCCAGTATTTTTTTAAGGGTTTGTAAATCATCTGCCTTATAGGTGGTACAAATCCATGTTCCCATTGTGTACGAAAACGTCCTGCTCTACCGGCAATTTGTAATGCAGACGATACGGATATAGTATCAATTTCTCGCTCACCTTTTTCATTCATTGTTGGTTTGACCAGTGAATAAAAAATAATACGTCTTATACTCCTGTAAATTTGGAAGATATTAGAAAATGTGAAGTTAATTAAAATGTGTTTAAATATAATTAATATTTTAACAAATATAAAAAGACTAGATGAAATCAACTAACTTTATAAAACTATTGCTTATTTAATTTAAATAAAAAAATATGTACTCACAAATTTAAACCCATTCCAATGGCATCAGTGGCCACCATAACTTTACAACTATTATCGGGATCGTTAAATTTAGCAGCTTGGGCTAATTTTGTGCCTGGAGGTAAGCCACCGTAGATAACAGCAACTTCTTTACCTCTAAAATAAAAAAGTACAGAAAAGATAACAATAAAAAAATATTTTTAAAAATTAAAATAGCACACCTACCTTGCCTCAATTTCTCGGGAAACAGAATAAATATCATTTTTACTAAAGCAAACAATACAATCACCAGGTTGTATATTATCTAAACTAACTAAAGCGGAATCCTCTATTGTCAATTCGGTAAGACGCTTATAATTATGGACTTCAACTGTTTCATTGGTAGTTTCACAGATTTTCTGCAATAATTCTAAGGAACCGGCTTCGCCGCACACATGTACTTCATCGGCTATAAGACCGAGAAAGGCACGAGTCCAAGCCCAGCCTCTTTGGGGATCACGTAATTGTTGGATTTCATCAATTACGGCAACTTCATCTATAACATATATTGAATAAAGTTAACTAGTTATACACAAATTATTTGTTTATGACATCTTACAGGGTGTATTGACCGAAGTCATTTCCACGGTACAGGCCACATGAGCTGCAGGTGTATTCTCATTAATGCCATATTTTCGTTCTTCTCCAGTAACTAAATCACAAGGTGTGCCCTAGATTATTAAGATTTAATTCTTTTTAATACTGTTGGTAAAAATAGTAACAATGTGTAACAACAACAAAATTACTCAATATAAGACAAAGTACAGTGTGAAGATATATTTGAGTAGATCCAATCATATTTAGATTTTTATTACACCCTGAAAATCGAGTGGTATTCCAGAAAAACGGATTCTAAGCGTTGTCGCATTTAAAAAATTGTTTCGAACAAAAAACTGTACTAGGTCTCCTGAAGAGTAATATTATGCTTTCTTTATACCTTTTCATTAGCTTTATTAAACACCTCTGTGGCCAATAGCTTGAGAGGACCACAATAGACACCCGTCTTAGCTGAAAGAAATCTTTCCATAGCGTGATAAGTTTTTCCAGAGTTCGTGGGACCAGCATGGAAAACTATTTTTCTTGTAATAGCGCGAGCACTTGGATACCAATTGGCGGGTGTTCTTAAATCTGAAATCTTCTTTAAATCATCCATACATTCTAAATGTGGAAATATGGTTCTGGCATGCCCTATAAAATAGGGGAATATATCGTCTACATGACCAGCGCCATGTATAATATCACTAAATGTTATATGAAGATCTACAGGAAGATTTTCAGATTCTATGCAATAGCGTCTAAATGAGGCAAAAGCCTGTTGCTGTAAATAATCTGTAAAAAATAAACAAATTTTAATTAAAGAAATAAATTTAAATACAAAGAAATACTTACTATCTAAGCCATTTTCCGAGCACAAAGCTTTTATTTCCCTTCTTTGGGTGAATTTATTTAAAATTTTCAAAATTGCGGACTTTTCCAATTTGCCCGCTAGCTCGGACCCAACATCAATTTCATCAGCATTATGTTGCACTTGGACGGGTTTAAATAATGTTGAAACATTACCCGGCTGTTGTTTACGATTACGGGCTCCATGTATTGCTGTTGCATGCAAAAATCTTTGTGTAGCCCCCACTACACCTGCGACCGTTTCCAATCGTGGTAGTGCTGATATTAATGTTAAATTTTGCGTGGCCGTACATAGTAACGTTAAACTTCTACGAGAATTTTGCATTATTTTCAAACTCCAAACACTTTTAACTTAATTTTGCCAATAATTTCATTCACTAATTTAATGTATTTACAGTAATAATTAAAAAAAATTCAGCATCACACCGAATTGTATTGATTGTGATGCAATGAATTTGTTAGAAAACAATAAAATGTCAAAATTGGGAAATTTAACCTCAACTTTGATAAGAGTAAAATGTCATATGGAGAAAAATTCAAAGAATTGAAAACATATGACAACAGGGTTGTATTTATAATTAAATGAGATGCCAGACAAAGGTAATGCTAATAGCACATTTGTAAAACAACACTTGAAACATTAAAGTTTTTAATTGAATTAATTCAAAATTAACGATTATTTTAGAAATTGATGGATAAATAAAAATCCGATTTCAAAAACAAATTCAGAACTTTTGTCCCTACTTCGCTAATGTAAATCGTAATGTGAGTTCAATTAAACGTTAACGGTAACGTTAACAAACCTTCTCTTCTAATCTGGCATCTTAGTTAACCAAAAACAAAACTTTCTCTCATCTTTCTTTTCTCTTTTCAAGTGAAATGTCAAAACAAACGACGTAAAAAGAAAACAAATGTAAAATTTAACCACTAAATAAAAAAAATCGTCAACTGTATTGCAAATGAGTCATTTTAAATTTTAAAAATCTGCTGAAAAAAATTAAATTTGGATAAAAACTAAAATAAACTAAAACTCCACAATGGGTTTATTTGGTCAAACAAAATCAAAAGATCCCAAAGAACAGGTAAAGTGCATTTTTCGTTAAATGAAAAAAGTTATAAATTCAAGGTAAACACAAGTATGACGACATCATTTTCTAAAATGAAGAACCAAAACAAATGAAAATATTAATTTATCATCATTTCATGGATAGGTACAAGAATGGACGCATAAAATACGCAAGGAAAGTAATCAACTTGATCGTCAAATACGCAGCATACAAAGAGAAGAGGAAAAGGTGAAACGATCCCTTAAACAGGCAGCAGCTAAAAATGATCGCGACACTTGCATCATATTGGCTAAGGAAATAGTGGGAGCGCGTAAAGCCATTAATCGTATTTACACTTCAAAGGCCCACTTAAATTCAGTGCAATTGCAAATGAAAAATCAATTGGGTGAGTGGTGGGCATAATGAAATATTTTATGGGACAATTTACAAAATAATTTTTGTAGTCCACTATATTATAGTAATGAGGTTGTTATGAATTTGTACTGTTTAATGTACGTTCACATACATATATCAAATATTTGATGAAAGCCGTAACCACTATCACCCTTTTAAAGTTTATTACACAAATAGTCAAAACAAACTAAAATAGAAATAATTGGGAAGTGATCTAACTTTTCTGATAGGTATTCTCGAGCACAACAATAGTCTGTTTTTGAAATTTGACACACATCCAAAAACTTGAGATACGTAGAAAAAATTAATTTTAAAGTACTTAAAAGCCAGAAACTTAGTTGAATCTCTATCGATTTTAAGTTTTCAAGTGGATTATTGTATTATTGTATAATCTTCCTTTATTTACATCTTTACTTACTAAATATTTACAAATGAGATCTTATCTTTATATAGATATTACAACAAATAATGAATTGACTAGTGATATTTACAATATTTTTTTTTACATTATAATCTAATATAATAATATAATTTCTAAGGTAAAATGGGAAAAACCTTTATATGATTTTAAATGAATTCAAATATGAAGAAAAATTATATAGGTTTAAAGTTGTGCTATTAGTTGTAATAGCACCGTATAAACATATCATTTTCGATTTGGTGATTTGCATTTAACTTTGTATAATTTCTACACATTCTCTTATCATGGGATAAGAAGAACTTTCAATTTTTTCATAAAACTTGTTTTTAATTCTTTTATATAATCAGTAATTCTTTCGTAGCCAGTTTCTTCATGGATAAGGTATGTTGGGTATCTCCAGTGTTTGTTATATATCATTTTGAGACATTTGTTTTGAATAACTTGCAAACGATTCAAGTGACAGTTAGCTGCAGTACTCCATACAGGACATGCGTATGTTAATATGGGTCTTATAACACTTTTAAATAGAAGATTCTTATTTTTCATGTTCAGACATGAACGTTTATTTAGCAATGGCCATAGGGCTCTAAAAGCTTTAATTGCTTTTTTGCAGATTTCGTTGATATGCCGTTTGAATATAAGTTTTTTGTCCAACGTAACCCCCAAATATTTTACATCGTTTTGTATATTTATAACATTATTTCCTATTAACAAGGGACGCCGGGCCAATCTTTTAGGGGATTTGTTGAATGGGAAAATTATAGCCTGAGTCTTAATTGGATTTATTTTGATTTTCCATTTGTGAAAATATTTGTTGCAACTTACAAGTCCTTTTTCCATTTTCTTTAAGAGAGCACCGGTACTCTTGCTTGAAGTAATTAAAGCGGTATCATCTGCGTAATATGCAGTTTGCATGTACTTCGGAACTTTAAAGTCGGATGTATATATTGAATACAGGAGTGGTGACAAAACAGATCCTTGTGGCAGCCCAGTGGAAATATGTTTGTCAGATGAGGTCGTATTTTTAATTGCAACTTTGAAAATTCTATCGTCCATAAAATCAGCAATAAGTTTACTAAGATATTTCGGGATATTAGCAAGTAAAAGTTTATATAAAAGGCCGTTATGCCAAACAGTATCAAACGCCTTTTCTATATCTAGCAGGATAAGGCCCGTTGATATTTTGTTGTTCTTATTAGCAATTATTTTATTTTTTATCCTTTTTATTTGGTGAGTAGTGCTATGATCTTTTTTGAACCCAAATTGTTCTTTAGCAACAATGGAATTTGAATTTACAAATTCAATTAGGCGATGATGTAAAATTTTTTCCAATATTTTACCTAGATTGCTTAGCAAGCTAATAGGTCTGTAGCTGTTAGGGCTGTTTTTAGGCTTATTTGGTTTATTTATAGCTATAACCTTAGCGTTTTTAAAATTTTTTGGAAAATAATTAAGTTTAATGCAACTGTTAAAGAGAATGACTAACAATTTCAACGCTTTAATTGGCAGGTTCTTTAAAAGTATATTAGTGATATTGTCAAACCCAGGTGATTTGGAGGCTTTTAAAGATGACACAACACTTGTTATTTCTCCAAGATTTGTAAAAATGGCGGAATCAGAAGATGGGTTCTCCTTCCTAAAATCATTAACTCTTGCGTTAATGAATTTATCCATTGAATGTTTGTAGCTTGAGGTAAGATTATTTGCTTGGACAAATGTATTTGCTAAAATTTCAGCTTTCTCCTTATCATCTGTTATTTTGGTATTTCCATAGTTGATATATGGAATTTGGTGTTTACCTTTTTCTCGCAGACTTCTGCTAATTCTCCAAAAAGTTGTATCTCCTGGTTTTAAATTAGATAGTAATTGACACCATTTATTATTGCGTTCTGCTTTGATGTTTTTATCTATCATTTTAGTAAGAAGGTTTGCATATTGATTGTAAAATTGTTTCTCAACTGCATTTGAAGTTCTTTGACTTTTTCTTTTGTAGCTTCTTCTTAGTTTTATATATTTACAGATATTCTCAGGCAATTCAAAATAGTTTCGTTGAGTAACTTTGGGAGTTGATGCATTTCTTGCTTCTAAAATAATGTTGGTTAATTTGTTAATTTCATTATCAATTGTTTGCTTTGAATTGTAATCATCTATATTGAATACTATATGATTGTCAACAAAATTCTTAAAAATGTTCCAGTTCGTTAATCTATGATCATAGTAACTGATATCAGCAATTGAAGCCTTCGATCGTTTTATGGTGCAAATAATGGGACGATGATCTGAAGGAATTTCGTAACCCAACGTTCTTACTTCTATATTTAGTGCGGAATTACTAATTACCACATCGACCGTAGACGGTTGTCTATTACGTTGATGTGGGTATAATGTAGGACTATTTGGGTAGTATACGAAAAAGTTACAAGTTTGTTGTATGTTGTTGAGTATGACACCTGCTGTGTTACTTGTAGCACAATTCCAGGCGGAATGTTTAGCATTTAGGTCTCCTAAAACTATGTATTCATTGGCTGAAGGTGTAAGTTTATGAATATCATTAGAGAAATTATTGTTATAACGGGGCGAGTATGCAGAAGTTATTACAATCGGTCTATTATTTATTGTTATTTCTATAGATATATTTTCAATAGATCTAGTGTTAAATGTGAAGCAGTTTTTATGTTTTATAGATTTATGAACCAGTAAAGCGACGCCTCCTCCTCTTCCATCTGACCTGTCGTTTCTGTAGAAAAAGTAATTTTTTAAAAAGGGTTTGATGCCTTCCGTTAAAAATGTTTCGTTTAATGAAGCAATTTTTATATTTTCCCTTTCGAGCAATATTTCTAGTTGTTTTAATTTTGAAAAGTATGAAATTCCATTAACATTCAAATGAAGCATTTTAAATTCGTTTGAATTAGTGTAAGCCATGAGCATACTTTACCATAGACATAACAACTTTAATTTGTTGCACTTTTGATGTACATCTTTGTAAATCTTCCATAGCAGTTGTAAAGATATCGAAAAGTTCATCGACACTAAACAGATCGGAATTATTTTTCAGCTGGTTTGCGTATGAAACGTTGGCATTCATTATATTATTATTGTTGCGGCTTGTTGTATTGCCTAAGTTGGGAAATTCCACACCGTTGAATTGGAATGTATTTAGATTTTGCTGTACTCTGTTATTATTATGAGATTTAGTTGTTACTCTTGCCCTCGTCTCCAGATAAAGAGAACGTAGTGGACAATTTATGTCGTTTGCTGCATGATCAGTTCTTTCTTTTCCATGTTTTTTACAATTAAAACAAGTAAAAACAGCTGGTCGCTTTTCATTTGTATTAAATGGACAAACATTTGTATGATGGTTTTCTGCGCATATCATGCAAGCGGCACCTCGATGACAATGCTCTCCACCATGACCATACATTAGACAGTTCCAACATTGTGTTGGTCTATCATTTTTCTTCGGTCTGTATTTTTTCCATGTAATAATTACGTTAGCTATAGTTCTCACATTTTTTAAATAACTTGGATTAAAGTTTTTTCGAATAAATTGTACCTTATACACTGCATTATTATCCGAGCTAAATTTGGTAATAATTTCAGTTACAGCAGATGGTGACAAGTTGTAGCTCTCCAATTCGGATTTGATATCGTCTGCTTTGATACGAGGTAAGCCATGCAAGAAGGTGGTGTATAACCTATTATCTTTCGAATTATACGAATGGAACTCAATTTGATTTTCCTTTAGTGTTTGCATACAGCTTTTATATACTGCCTGGTTTGGAGTGAATACTTTGGTACCAATGGAAGTACGCTTAAAAAAGCATTCCTTACCTAATAAATTTTGGATTTCGGAAAATGATACATTGATTTCCACTACAATAGGTGGTGGCTTACGTTCCTTTACTTCATTTATATTTGTTGCTGGAGCTACATCCATATCATTTTGACCCCCCAGGATACTAAATCTATTTCCCAACGAAGATGGAATATTTGGATAAACATGCCCTGGTTGTTTAGTTGACTTTATCTTAGCATTGCGCTTTTTGTTCCTAGATTTTTTGGCCCCTGGGGCCATTTTAGGTGGTGTGTTATTAGTTTCTATTTAAAAAATTGACTATCACGTGTGAGTTCAATAAGAACGTGTGTAGGCAATTACAAAAACAATAGTGTTATCTTTATTTTTAATATGTATAAAGATTTGCTGTGCGCTTATGTTGCTGAGACTACCGTTCGTTATGAATATCAGATGTGAACTGTTTCAAGTGGATTAGAAAAAGTTGAGTTGTATATATTTTATTTAAAAACCCCTAATAATTCTGTATAACATTCTCGAGCAAAGACTAATATAAAGTCTTTGATGACGGCATGCATGGGGAATATATACATATGTAGATTCAACTGAAGCCTGATTCATTAAAAAATCATCATTAACAATAAGGTTCATTTATTCTGATTTTTGTAATGATCGGAACTGTTTTATTCTAGTCTCCATATAAACCTTTCATCAGTGACTTGAACAGCGTATTTCACTTATAAAAACTAATATCACATATTTGGTATAAATAACATTTATATAAACATAAATTCCACCACCTAATATTTTTAGGATCGGTTCATATTTTACGCTCAGTTTGGTTCTTCAGTTTTTCAACAATTTTGTGCAAACGGTGCAAAAATAAAACCAAAAATATGTTTGTTGATGAAAAGCACACATATTTCTCCACGTTGCTTAAACATATAAATCATAGATAGATAGATAGATAGATAGATAGATAGATAGATAGATAGATAGATAGATAGATAGATAGATAGATAGATAGATAGATAGATAGATAGATAGATCGATAGATAGATAGCTCGCTCGCTAGATAGATCGATAGATCGCTAGCTCGCTCGATAGCTCGCTCGCTCGCTCGCTCGCTCGCTCGCTCGCTCGCTAGCTCGCTCGCTAGCTCGCTCGCTCGCTCGCTAGCTCGCTCCTCGCTCGCTCGCTCGCTCGCTCGCTCGCTCGCTCCTCGCTCGCTCGCTCGCTCGCTCGCTCGCTCCTCGCTCGCTCGCTCGCTCGCTCGCTCGCTCGCTCGCTCGCTCGCTCTCTCGCTCGCTCGCTGCTCGCTCGCTCGCTCGCTCGCTCGCTCGCTCGCTCGCTCGCTCGCTCGCTCGCTCGCTCCGCTACTCGCTCGCTCGCTCGCTCGCTCGCTCGCTCGCTCGCTCGCTCGCTCGCTCGCTCGCTCGCTCGCTCGCTCGCTCGCTCGCTCGCTCGCTCGCTCGCTCGCTCGCTCGCTCGCTCGCTCGCTCGCTCGCTCGCTCGCTCGCTCGCTCGCTCGCTCGCTCGCTCGCTCGCTCGCTCGCTCGCTCGCTCGCTCGCTCGCTCGCTCGCTCGCTCGCTAGCTCGCTCGCTCGCTCCGCTCGCTCGCTCCCGCTCGCTCGCTCTCCCGCTCGCTCGCTCGCTCGCTAGCTCGCTCGCTCGCTCGCTCGCTCGCTCGCTCGCTCGCTCGCTCGCTCGCTCGCTCGCTCGCTCGCTCGCTCGCTCGCTCGCTCGCTCGCTCGCTCGCTCGCTCGCTCGCTCGCTCGCTCGCTCGCTCGCTCGCTCGCTCGCTCGCTCGCTCGCTCGCTCGCTCGCTCGCTCGCTCGCTCGCTCGCTCGCTCGCTCGCTCGCTCGCTCGCTCGCTCGCTCGCTCGCTCGCTCGCTCGCTCGCTCGCTCGCTCGCTCGCTCGCTCGCTCGCTCGCTCGCTCGCTCGCTCGCTCGCTCGCTCGCTCGCTCGCTCGCTCGCTCGCTCGCTCGCTCGCTCGCTCGCTCGCTCGCTCGCTCGCTCGCTCGCTCGCTCGCTCGCTCGCTCGCTCGCTCGCTCGCTCGCTAGCTCGCTCGCTCGCTCGCTCGCTCGCTCGCTCGCTCGCTAGCTCGCTCGCTAGCTCGCTCGCTCGCTCGCTCGATCGCTTAACCCACGTTATTTCTGGAAGGGGACTTTTTATGGCGGCTACGGTTAATAAGTCTGGATATTTATGAGCTAAATGACCCAATCGGCAACGTGGGCTGTTTGGGATAGATTATAGACAGATTTCAATCATTTCCTTATACAATTTAACCATAAGAGGTAAAACTCGGAAATCGGTTATATCTCGAGAAGAAATCATGTGATTTCAAATTTATTCAGCTGTTTCAAATAATGTTTACAAAATAATTAATTTTAAAAGTTATTAATGGAAAAGTTATTTTGCAAACATTTTTCTTTGTTATGGTAGGTAGGTTATTTAGAGGAAATTTAAATTAAACTCATTTTTTAATTCAGAAGCAGATGAAATTAAATTAAAATTTTATTATTTTGAAGATATTTAACATTCAATTTAACTGAATTTATCAGGAAATTATATTAACTATATGGAATAAGAATTAAATCTTGGATATTATAAGATGGTGTGATAAAATTACATCCCGATTTTTTAGTAATATTAAAAGTTCTAACTATGGTAGGGTGATCTACTCAACTAGATCTATAAACTTCACTTGGTCACATGTAAAGTATTTGGGAATTAATTATTTCAAAGCTTTGGCTGTAGAAAATAGAAAAGAGAATGGATTAATTATCCTATTAAGCAGATGAGATTGTGTAGCTCTCATCTTTCTTTATCATCGTTAAATTATAGTCTTAAAAGTTCTTACCGATCAGTAATCAGTTATAAGTGAGTCTTCACATGTCTTATCACATTAATGTTATCGTCGTTTTAGTGACAATCTTTGACCATATTATCTTAGACACTTGTCCGTACCATACTCAGAAGATACTTTCAAACAATTTCGTAACGAAAAAAATTAGGAGTGCATTCAAGAAGTAAAATATTATAAAACCTAAAAATGCTTATAAAAGCCAAAACATGCCTTTGTTGAGCTAGAAAGTTCAATTTATGAAAAATATTCTTACAGCAACTTTGCGTGTAGCTGGTTCCCTACAAAAATCCACCGAAGTAATGCAGGCAATGCAAAATTTGGTACGCTAATCCGGAATTGGCTGGCATAATGCGTGATATGTCCAAAGAAATGATGAAAGCGGGTATTATTGAAGAAATGCTTGAAGAAACTATGGAATCCCTGGAGGAGACTGAGGAAATGGAAGAGGAGGCTGCCAAGGAAGTCGATAAAGTTTTGTGGGAAATCACAAATGGTAAATTGGGTGAAGCTCCCCTACCACCCGATGAGTTGACTCCCGCTGAACAACAAAAAGTACCAGCTGCTGCTGTTGCAGTCACCGCAGATGTGGGTGATGATGATGATGAAGAAGATGACCTACAGGAAATGCAATCACGTTTGGCTTCGTTGCGGTCGTAAGAAAAAAGCTAAGCATTATTGAATCGTCGTGTACTTTTTATAAAATTTATCATTTAATTTGTCCATTATTTTATTAAATGGTTTTTATTTAAAATGATATATTTTATTTAAATTAATTGTATTTTTTAAGTTTATATTTTATTTGTTAATTTTTTTTTATAAAATTCTGGTATTAATAATTTTAACTCTGTTTAAAATTCAATCTTTTCTTTCATATATTAAGTATTTAATATCTTTTGATAGTGTAAAAAACCTGAATAAATATTTATTTAAAAAAAAACTATTTTGATGCTGTTTTTAATAATCAGGCAAAGAGTTTCGATAACGCCGCTCGTAGTATGGATAATGTGTCCAAAAAACTAAAAAAATTTTGAAAACTATTTCTGCTAATTGATGAATTCGCGATAACAAATTTCAAATTTTATTTTCAATTTTGAATTTCAGTGCAAAAGTCTATATAAAATAAGTTTTATTTCAATTTAAAAATAAAACTCAACATAAAGCTATTTCTTTCTACATTTTTTAAAACATCCACTTTAATGTACATTCATATCCCTAATTGTTTAAATTGTAGTGACAGTTATAAAAAATGCTCTGTTAAATACCCGCATATTAAAGTTCAACAAATCGTATTTTAAGGACATTATCATTTTGTCCTTAGTGAATATTGATAAAGGATTTTTATGTGAAAAAAATAATATATTCTTGATTAAGGTTTCACTTGAATACGTCAAGTGCACAAAATATTACTTGAAAAGACCAATTTTAAATATTAAATACAAAAATTATAAAAAAGATAAAAATATCAAGCACAAAATTTTAATAATTTTGGACAAAAGAATCATTAAACCATAAGAAAATATTTGATTTTAGAACAAATATTAAAAAAATTGTAGATGAATGGAAGAGAAAAAGAAAAATCAACAAAAAAATAAAATTCATAGATATTAAAGATTAACGCATAAAATGAGGGGAAAAAATAGGCATAAAAAGACGAAAAATGGTCATATTAAAAAATGTTTATTAAAATATGTCTATCTATTGTATCTAATGCGGGGCAGGACTAGAAGTAATATACGGGTAACTAACTAACTAACTAACTAACTAACTA